GCAGGCAAGGTGAAACAGCAACACATCTTAACATAGTTAAATAAATGTAACACATCTTTGCATAGTTAAACAAATACTCGACAACAGACCTGGTCTCTCTGTGCATCTCTGGCTGCTCTACAATTCTTAAAATCCTTTTGCCTTAGGAATCCTAACATACTTGTTTTCACACCAAGCTCCACAGATTCTGTAGTGGATCCTGACACTCAGATTGTGCTTTGGCGTGTCTGCTGGGCCTTTTGACCAAACAGCCTTTCCCCAGCTGAGCTGAGCTCTGTTCCTGAGAGCACCTCTTCTGCCCCCTGTCCTGCCTGGTCCCAAGCACACGGGCTTTATAAGCTGAGGCTGGCCAATTTGCTGCATAGACTTCCTTCACGGTCACACCCAGCCTCTGGGGAGTCCCCAAGTTCATAGCTGCCTTTTCTACCTCCTTTCTTTGCTGGAACCCTCGGGGAAATCACCGGTAGGTGATGAATGGGAATGTATCTCACGGTCTTGAAACCAGTTCTCAATAACTGAATTTCATTGTCTTTACCAGGCGAGGGCACGTGCGAGGCAGCACTCAAGTTAGCTTCTGTAGGTGGCTGTTGTCTGTGCAGACATCCTGGATCTTTATTAAATACTGCTGGGCTCAGGGTTAGGTTCGATTGAAGAGATAAATTGGCTTTTTGTGGACTGCTTGGGAACTTGACCTCTCTTTATAGCATTATTTTTCTTTTAAGAGAAAGGACTCCTAAGTTCTAAATAGCTGACTTATTAATGAGCGCTGGTATACCTTGGGGGACTATCTGCTGTATTTATTCTATTTTATATGTGATGACTTACCTCCATAAAAGAGTTAGGTCTTTCAATATAGAGGCCATTTCGCATACATTTGCTAATAGTACTCCCTCCCCCAGCACTGGGCATGGCCCTGAATTCAGACAGTGTTTTGCACATAAATTATTTTAAAGCTCGATGGTGTGCCTCCTCTACAGATATCTGGGACCCTGAGAAGAAGGCCATGGTGTGCATTGACTTCCTGTTTGCTTGTGTCAGGGAGGTGTTTCAGGACAGAATTATTGATGCCTATTTGGAGAGCGTTGGAGACTTTCCCCATTAAACACCTTGTTTTCTCAAGTCTCAAGTGAGACTGGATGCCGTCCATTCCTGTGGTGGACCGTGTGGTATGTGGGTTGAGATAAGCCCAGCAGACAGCAGGCCTCTCCATCCCAGGGTCAGTAGAAGCCTCCTGAAGATCTGCTTAAGCACCATTCTGAGAGCGTCTGAGTGGCAGTTGCCACAGAGATAAGTGTTGGGAAATGCACCCCAGAGTCAGTTTCTTCCTTCTGCACTGATCGGACTCTGAGTAGTTACCGTTTCTTCTCCTAAACAAGGGAAGGCAGATTAGATTTCTGATGTGACAGCACAAAGACCGTCCATTTATAGTAGCACATGGGGGACAAATCAACCTCTCTGGGGACAGATCCCCTCACAGTTTCTTTCGGTGTTTTTGGAGCGAGTCCAGTAGACTTTGGGAAAATCCAGCATTCACTGACCTTAGAGTAACACAACCCCTTTGTGCATTTTCTCCCTTGACTGAAAGGAAGAGTCTACAATCTGAGCTTGGCAGGCTCAACTAATGTTTTTACAGTGTTCCTTTAACATCTCTGTGCTGCTGCTTCTTCAGGACATCCGTGTTGTCTGTTTTGTCATGGGGTCATCCTGGTGTGGCTCATACCTGTTGGGATGGCTTTGTGCTCCAGGTGTCTAGGTGGCAGCCCGACAGCAAGTAGTGTCTGTGTGTTCACCGTGCACGGTGGGAGGAATGGCTGCATGTCATCACAGGAGACCTCTGCAGCAGCCATGAGCTTAGACTGGTTGCTGGGTTACAGCTTGGGTCAGGGTGTGGCTTCAGGTCTGGCTTAGGTCCACACAGGGTTGACCAAGCTCATGATGCAGTCTCTGGTGAGGTGTTTCCCAAGTGGTGAGCTACTACTAACACAACAAGCTGATGTTTCTGGGCCAGGCACTTACCCTGTTGCCTCAGGTTGGAGGGGAGAGTAATACCCCGTCTTCACCTGTGTGCTCCTGCACCACCTCAGTGGATGTCCGAAGGAGGGTTCTACACCGGCCTCTCTGCAGCTGAGCACTAGAACCCTTGGGGATGCTTGTACTCACCGCAAGGCCACACGGCCTCCCTGGTTGTTTGGGAGAAGACTGGACTTAATGGAGTCACCTCTGGGGGTGTAGATTCACATGTGGTTTAGTGGGCTGGCCAGTCGGAGGTCAGAATTGAGGTCGGATGCCTTTTTGCTCACTGCAGATTACTCTCTGGAGGCATGGTACTTTGGTGAGGAACCCCTCTGGCCAAAGGCAACATCTAGGAGGGCTCAGCAGTGAACCAGTGGCAGGCAGCCTTCTCTCATCTGGGGAGTCTGAGTGACCCACTGCTCCGCTGCTGCAGACCATAGACGAACATTGTGGTCTCCTGACCGTGGCTGTGTATGTGCCGTAGCTGCTGGTACTCCTTTGGTGACTGACCTCCTTGTCCCTCCTTCCATTCCCTAACTAGTGGTGGGAACAGGAAAGCTCAGCCACATAGAAGTCAGGGAGGGGACTTAGACTGGCTTGAACTGACATTGTTGATTGACATTTTGGAGTTTAGAGGTACTCCTAAGAATGGTGATTTAAAAGAAAAGGTCGGCTCTGCATGTTGTGTACATTCCTACAGTTTATCCTTGAAACAGAGGCCATCCTCCAGATCTAACTGACAGCCCAACACAGTGTCTGACTGACCCTGTCAGCACTGGTGGTCATTACAGCTTGCAGGGTTTCATCTTTGCTGCCCAGGCACCAGCAAAGCCTTCCTGAGTTGTTAGATGACCTTTAGAGTTGGTGATACTGTTCTGTGTGTTGTGCGTTTGGATCCTTCACTGTTTGGATGTAGCCTCACTCTGTAATCCTCGTGTTACTGCTGGTAATGTCTTGGTTTATAGTGAGACAAGGTACAGGGCATCGAGTCACCAACAGGCAACCTAAGAGTGACTTGGATGGAAGGTCGGTAACATGAGAAAATGCAAAGGAGCTGGCGTGTCCTCCAGGAAAGTGGCACCCAGCCTCTGCCTTCCTAGCAGAAGTGCTCGCATTGTCCTCTCTGGGAAATCTCTCGATGTGTTCCTCTGACAGTCACCCTGAGTGTGTTAGAGGAATCCGAGATGCTTTTGGCTGATCATGTGGGATCTTGGTGCCTCTATGTTGTACTCTTCCCAAACTGAGTTTCGGGTCAGGGAGGGCACTGGGGGCGGGGCCATGGTTTCATGGAGGGACTGTCTTCCACGCTGAGCTTGGAAACAGGACAACAAAATAGGCTTTTGATCGGAGGCTGTGACCTCTGCCCAGAATAAAAGCAAAGGTGGCATCTCATGTTCATCTCAAGACCAGTTCATAGGTGGCCTACCATACAGGAGTCCACGGCTCGTTGAGCTCCTCACCCTGACTCACCCTGTCTTGCCTAGCCTTACCTTACTGTAGCTCTGCTTGTGTGAGCATAAAGAGACTTTTTTCTCTTGTTTCTTTACCATGCAGGCAAAGTTGATCCTCTCTGCTTCTGCAGACAAAATAATGCAGAAGAAAAGGTAGTCAGTCACCGGGGTTGTCATTGTGAATGATAGCCCCTCACCTTGTATGTGCCTGCCAGGTCCATGACCAGCAGTGACTCCTGCAGGGGGTTGGAGTCTCTGGTTGTGTCTGGTTGGCAGTAGTGCTCTTCAGTGATGAGTGGAGGTGTCATTGTAGGCAAGGACCTTGCCTGACTTGAGACCCAATGGCTTTCCTTTGTTTTCTTAGGCAGAGACCAGTACCTTCCAATTACCCTTGCAGATGTTTTCCTGTTTTTCTCTGTGGCCAGCATCCTTCCACTGCTGAACATTCTGTCCCTCCTCTGCCCACAGAGACTGGTCAGTGCCCTTTCCCCAGAGAGCCTTTTTGGCCAGTGTGCTTAGCCTCGCCGTTTTTGCAGTCAAACACCATGTTTCCTCCTAGGCTCCAGACTCTCCTTCAGTCCTGAGACTCCTAGATGAATAGTGACAGGACTCTTGAGCTTTCTTTAGCCTCAGTCTTGGAAGAGTCTGATTGGTGCTCACGCTCTGTAATGCAGTGGAGGCTTTTCTGGAGTGGCCACCTCATGGCGTGGAAATCGTAGTGAACAGTGGGTTAGCAGCTTGCTTTCAGCCAGTAAGGCAGTGATGTTAGCCAGAGCTTATTAAACATGAATTTCCCAAGCTTAGGCTGTTGGGACAAGGGGCCCACTCTGCAGCTGAGAAGCTCGGCCGTAGCCCTGGCTGGCAGGTGGACTGGTGGACCTGGTCATTTCAGCTTGGCCTTTCCCTGTTCTCCCTTGGATTCCTTTGTGCACTGGGATCCACGTGACCTTATCTTTCAGCCTAAGCCTGTTACCTCATCTCTGATTGCTTACCCCAGGGCAGGCTAGCTCTTGTTGCTGCGCATTAATAAACAACACTGGAGAACCACTTTGTTTGTGCTGGCTCGCTGAGGTTAACCAGCGGAGCCCCCAGAGCATTAGGAAACCCCGAGGAGAGCTGGGCCTGGCTCCAGCTCAGTGGCCTCCTCCCTGCTCTATACCCACGAAAACATGTTAGTGACCTGGTCAGCAGTTCTCCAGCTGGAGCCACCACACCCATGTGTGGGGAAGCTTGCTTGGCCTTGGGGAATGGTGGCCTCCCCAGCCCAGGCGGACTTTTTTGGGCACCTGCTGCCTCATCTTCCCTTAGAATTCTGTCTGGAGGTTTCTGACACACCTGTGCATCCATTCCTGTAGCACCTGTGCTTCTCCTTCTGGAGCACCATGGGAAGTAGTCATGTGACTTTCATAGTGACCGGAAGGAGGGTAGATGTGGGGGCCCCACTCTGGTCACCTGCAACAGTGTCCAGTGATGGAGAGGCCTGGTGGTGCAAGTCGCTCTCAGCCTCACCTCAACCTCTTCCCTCTTTCTCCACAGAATGAGATGGAAGAGGTACCCTTCTTCGACGTGCAGCTGCCTTATGAACTGGCCATCAATATATTTCAGTATCTGAACAGAAGAGAACTGGGTCGGTGTGCTCAGGTAAGTGTTTGCTGACACATGTCCAAGGGTCCCCAACTCTGACCAAGTGTGGGGAGCCCCCAGGAACATTGATTCTGTAGAATCACACAGTTGACAGAACTGATGGGTTGCGTAGAATTTTCTTGAAGGAGGGCTACCTTGAACGTACAGGGTCTTGTTCCACATCCTCTCTCGACGCAACTCCTCAGGTGACTGTCTTCTGCACCGGGCTAAGTTATGACTGGAATGCTGGGCTCTGCCTGCAGTGAACTAGCCTGTGTTAATACATCACATGTGTTAGTACAAAGATGTAGCCCTTAAATCAGGCTAGTCATTAGGGTGGCAGCCGAGGGTCAGCCCAGGGACAGATTGGTGAAGTCATGCTTTAGACACATAGTCTAAATGACCCTTTAAATAGCAGAATCACACTCCTGACGTGAGTGAGAAGGGAAACACATTGAGGGGCTTGCACAGGAGCATTGCCCATGGCATGCCAACTCTGGCACACGCCTGTGGAGCACAACGGTGGCCAGGCCTTGGTTGCATGTAAATGAGGTCAGCATGACCGGTATGAAAGTCAGAAGTCATGTCATCGCCCCAGTGTCCCTTTTTCACAGTAAACTGCACATGTCAGCTGGGGCAGCCCCTGGTATTGGGCCTTCTTAGGAAGTATCTGCTTCATCAGTTACTTGGAGCTGTTGAGCGCCTTTGGTATGCAATCACAGCAGTGCTGAGTGCCTTTGGTGTGCGATCTCAGCAGCGTTGCCTAAGTAGAGATGTCAGCACATGTTCCTGATGCAGTGTGTCTGAGATCAGTGAGACATTGAAGCACACTCTGAAACATGTGCCAAAGTGTAAACGGTACTCAGGGCTGTCAGTTGCATGAAGAGTACCTGTGTTATCAGCCCTATCCCCCACTCTGGGAAATTAGGTTTATTGTTTTCTAGCTCATGCGTTGGCTCTGCTCCCAGGAATGGAGGAGAGGGCAGAGTTACATCAGCCCCATGCTGGGTGGAGTCTTGGAGCCTCTGTAGCCAGTTTTGCCCTGCACAGTTGGCACTATGTGCTCTTCTACTTTCTTGGGAGTGGGCCGCTATTGACCGAACACTGCTTTCACGTCAGTTTCTGCTCTCCCATTTTGTGGAGAGCCACGCGGCCTTCAAGTATGCTGCTGCCCATCAGGACATGATAGAGTCAGGTGCAGGGGTCCCCTTTGGTACAGTGGGGCTACACTCAGGAGAGACTGGCTGTGCTGCGATTATCCTGCAGGTGTGAACCATGTAATTAGCAGCGTGCTAGTCTAGTTCTTACTAGAACTCTTCCCTGTATGTTCAGTCGGCTTGTGTGTGTGTGTGTGTGTGTGTGTGTGTGTGTGTATGTATGTATGTATGTGTATGTGTGTGTGTGAGAGAGAGAGAGAGAGAGAGAGAGAGAGAGATTTTTATTTTTGAAAATACATGTAAGTATGGAAACTATTCTTGGGAAGGCTGGGCTTTCAGAGTCTTTATATGAAGACAACAATGGATGGCCTGCCTGCAGTCAGTAGGATTGGCTTGATTTCTATCATCATTAAAATAAACTACAAAGTAGTAAATATAAGCAGTGTTTTCATTTGCTCTTGTGGTGTGTTTGTTTTTGCAGCAGGGAGAAAGTCCTTCTGTTGAATGGGGTCCTGCTGCTTTATGCCCCTCTTCTCTGTCTCTCCTGCTCTCCTCTCTTATAATCTAGGCGTATTGGGACTTTAGTGAAGTGGGGCCAGTTGTGTGGAATTGGCATCCTGAGCTAGTTTTGTATTCTTAGAGAAACCTGTTACTTAGGTCTTTATGCCAAGCTGCTCTCTGACTGGCAGCAAGGAAGCCTGGCTAGGGACCCCTCAGCTGGTATCCACATACTGATGTGCCCTCCACCCTTGCCAGCAGCTAACCTCTGGGTACTGTGTGCGGATTGGGTGACTGCTGAGAGGGCTTCATTCAGAATGTCATGAAAATGGCAGGACTTTTAGGAAGCACAATATCACTCTGACAGCACTAACATTTTGCTGTTTATGATTTTGTGTCCATCCTTTCCATGCCCACAGGGTCCTAGCATTTTAAAGAGTAATATTTTAACACGTATAGCGAGATCATTGCCAGTTTCAGAATTGCAAAATGGTTTGGTTTCTGTGAGAAAGCCAAGTGCTGTTGTATAGCAACATGAATAATTCTGAAGAGAGATGGTTTCTGGTAGTTACCAGCTTTCGTTGCTGTTTTTGATAGGCTCTTGCTGTGTAGTCTAGTCTGTCACAGGTCTCCAGGCCTACGTCAGCCGCCTCGGTTCTCGATGACAGGCAGGGGCACTCTGTCCAAGTCCAGCGTTCTTTTTCGTCTCCTAGACGCATTTGTGTGTGTGGTGTCCTGGCTGTGTGTTTTCACACGCACCACTTGCACCTGACACCTGTAGAGGTCAGAAGGCATCAGGTCTCCTGGAACTGAAGCCACAGATGGCTGGGAGCCATCGTGTGGCCACTGGGAACCAAGGCTAGGTCCTCTGCAAGAGCCACTATGCTCCCAACTGCTGAGCCACCTTTACAGCCCTCCAACGTTCTTTTTAAACATTTGAAAGTACTTAGGAATCCACAGGAAGCTGCAGACGTCATGCAGGCAGGTGCTATGTGTCTCTGCCTGTTTCTTCCTATGGTGAAACCCTTGTGCCCAGCGGTGACAGGATCAAGCACATGGATGTTGGTCCATTCCCTGGCGCCTGCGTAGGTTTCACTGGTTTTCCATCAGCATTTTTAGTTCTGTTCTGTCTTAACGTAGGTGTAGATCTGTGTGCCCACTGCACTGCCAACACTCAGACTGCTCACTGCAGGGATCTCTTCTACCCTTCATGGCCAGCCTCACCCCTGCCTCCTCTCCACCCCTAGTTCCAGCAGCCTCTGGCAGCTTTTGGTCAAAGAAATATATGTTGTAATGTGGGTATTTTTTTTCCTTTCAAAAAATGATTTATTATGTATATAGGTGTTTTGCCTTCAGGTTTGTCTGTATGAGTTTGTCAAATCCCCTGGAACAGGAGAGGCAGTTGTGAGCTGCCATGTAGGTGCTGGGAATTGAACTCGGGTTCTCTGGAAGAGCAGCAATGCTCTTAACCACTAAGCCATCTCTCCAACCCCTTAGTGGATATTTCTTACTGTGTAGTTTTAGTAGTTGAACTGCATAGGCAGTAATGCCACAGTTTTCAAGTAAAGGGTAGGAAGTTGCACATAGAGATCCAAGGCATGGTGGTACAAATCTATAATCCTAGCACTTGGGAGGCCGAGGCAGGAAGACTGTAGGTTGAAGACCACTCGGGGCTACCTAGTAAAACTCAGTCTTAACGTCAATAAAGAAAAGGGAAGAGGCTGAGGCGAACTGCTGAAGATTGTGGTACAGACCATGAGCAAGAAGCAGGAGGGACCACGACAATCTAGTGATTCTGGGGCAGACACCCAGCATGTCAGTCAGGCTGTCAGCTTTCAAGGAAGGAGTAATGCCATGAGCTGGCCAGATGTCCACCTCAGGACGCTAACATTGCATGTTTACAGTACAGCTCTGATCCTGATGTTTCTGTAAGTCATGAATCTGTCACCAGGTAGGTCTGAGCAGACTTCTCATGCCATGACTCCGCGGGCTTTAGTTCCTAGCGCTCTTCAGTCTGACCACCCTGGTGGCTGTCTTGGACTTGTGGGAGGGTCTGTGTGCATAAGCACAAAGCAGAAGCAGCCTCAAGAGCCACTTCTAGTTCTCCGACTTCTGTGGCTGTCTTCTTCACACAGGGGTTTCAGAGCCACTAGGAGGTTCTCAAGCTGCAGGAAACAGTCAGTGGACAAAGTAGCGGGTCCTGGAAGGATGCTGTTGGCTGTACCATCGTGCAGGAAATCTTTCATGATTGAAAGATTAGAAAGAAGCCGGGTGGTGGTGGCACATGCCTTTAATCCCAGCAGAGGCAGGTGGATCTCTGTGAGTTCAAGGCCGGGCTGGACCGACAGCCTCCAAAACAATACAGAGAAACCCTGTCTCATAAAACTAAAAAGAAAAAAAAAAAAGATTAGAAAGAGAACACAGAAGGTGAGAGAATAAGGAAGTGAGAGCCTCTGGGCACAGCATACATCAGGGGCTGTAGGGTTCATAGAGACAAAAGTGGCTCTTTTGAGTTTTTAAGAGTTGAATTTACCTGTTTTCACTTTAGAGGGTTTGCTGAGAGCCAGGTGCTGTTCCTGACAGCAAGTACTACAGTGAGCAGCACCTAGTGAGGTCCGTGTTTTGTAGAGGTGAGGGTCCTATGTAGTCATGACTGGAAGGAGGGAGGGAGCCATGCAGAAGTCCTGAGGTAGGTGCAACTGAGGCTGTCCTGCAGAGCATCTCCTGTGGATGAGGACTGTGGATGAGGCTGTCCTGCAGAGCATCTCCTGTGGATGAGGACTAGCAGGAAGGACAGAGTAACTGGACCGTGATATACACACAGTGGCCAATCTAATGTGTATCACTGAGTCCCTAACCTGTGTTCATGGTAAGAGACCTTTGCAGATGGGTCCTGATGAGAGAAAGTGGCTGTGGGGTACCCATACAGGCTAATGCAGGTAAAGGGCAGGACCTCAGATGGGGACAGATACTGTAGATGTTCTGGCCTTGAGGTGGAGGAAGGGACCACATGCCAAGAACTATAGATGGCTGGAAAGGTAACTGAAGTCTCCAGCAGGGATGCTGTCTTGGCAAGCACTGGCTCCCACTCCTGCTTCAGGAGTGTGAGAGGGAGTTTGTGTGGAGCGCTGCGTCTGTGGTTCTCTTACAGCCATGAGACACTGGTGCGGGACATTGAGCAGGAGTGAGCACAGGAGAAATGCAGAGGCTGAAGGGCGTTTGGGTGAGGTAGGGAGGCCCTGCAGTCCTGTGAACAGCAGTCACAAAGACTGTGTGTATGGTGGAGGCATTGCTTTGCCTGCTCTAGGGAGACAAGGATGGCAGAGAGACCAGTTCAGGTGGTGGAGTCTTCAGAGGAGAGGA